CCCAGTCGCAATCTAACCATCCCAAGAACGTGGAAACTGCAAAGTTACTTGTTAGAATGCCAAATAACCGACCACCAAGTCTGTATGGGCACGTGACATTTGGTGGTAATTCGGCCATCTGATGCCCCCACCCCGCTTTTAGCTCTCAGTTATGACTGATCCCCTTCTATTATCCCCAAAATCAAATGATCGCACCCAAAAATCCTCCGAACCCCCCAGGCGATAAATAATGACCGGTCCCTATAGTGCAGAAATGTTTTACACGAGTGCAGAGTTGAAATGCAGGTAAAAATTGTAACGAAGAAATCCAAGGCGTTTTACATACGGATTACAAATTGATTATAATTTTGCCAGCCTTGGTAAAATGTACTCGTGCTTAAACTTTAATCTAAAATAATCCCAGTTACATTTTTTCGACACGGTGTTTTACGTCTACACGGCAACAGCAGGATTTCAGTCTGAGAAACACACATTTTTCGAATTCTAGCGGGACCAGCGTCCCAGGCGTGGGTACTCCGTTAAATGGGCTAAATAGGTATGTGCTGCCCCAAAGGCTGTGGATTTGTCCATTGTCCGTTCATTGTCACGCGTTTTGCATATGGCATTGGCCAATTCGCAAGCACTAGTTTCATCTGAGGTTATTATCATGTGCATTTGGTGGACGATCGGTCAGCCGATTGCCCCACTTTCTGCTACACTTTCTGCTACACCGCACTGACGAGACCCAACAAAGTCGAAGCAGCTGTCCACGATTGCATGGCTTTCAGTTTGGACTCTATCATGTCGTTGTTTCTACGTAATTATCAGCCTTGCTTCATTGTTATGTTTCTATTTTTGACCGATCAGATCTTTTACAGATCCTACGTACACCGGCAGCATTTTCGTTTGCGGTCTCTTGCACCAAAGGGTATGGCTTTTGAGCTGTTTTAGCCCGATAAAGGGTTGAGATTGTGATCATTTTGGTCTGAAATGGGGTATGTTTTTCACTCTGGCCTGGTACTGGGTATCTTGTATGAAAGGAACTAATTTTTTCCGCATCAGCATTGGCAAAGTTGTAGTCCTTTCCAAATGTTCACGCAAATGGGAGCCATTTCTGGCTAGACGTGGTTATATGTTAGACCCCTGTACTAATTTTGGAGGTCTGTCATTTCTTGCTCAGGTCTGAATTAGGGTGTGATAAAATCACAGATTTTGGTCTAAACTATGGTAAGGGTTTAAAGGTTCGGGCTGCACATCTGTATCACCCATAAATGTAATAAAAACCATAAATGTAATACCNCCCTATCAGAAAGTACCCCCGGAAAGGGAGTACCCCCGTCCCGGGGAAGAACGCAGCTAACCGACTCAGCTGAGATGCGATAAATTAAATTAAAGTAGCCCATACTGAAGGTGAAAATATAAAGTTAATATGGTGTATAAGAACAAGAGAAAATGAGGTGAGATCATGGTCTCTTGATAAGAACTAGTTGTTTAAAAGCAGCTTGTAAATACTGGAGGAGGAGAATGACACATAAGCTATTTACCACCCTCGAAGGTATAAAACTATAATTTAAAAATAGTGTAACGATTGTTCAATATTACTTAAATATGATCGAGTAATACGAAGGACGCTTTGTCATAAACTTCCTGAGCTCTATAATAACGTGCAGGTTACGACATTACCCTTATGGGAAACGCTTGTTTGATTTCTCTCGCAAGTTAAATCGTAAGCTATCGTATTTGACAAAACCGGCCTAGGTATTCATGATCGTGGGTTGCTGTATTAATCAAATCATGCAAAATCAATCTGTCTCCCTCCAGAGTGTACGTGGTTTCAATGGTTCATTTCGCTTGGTATTCAAAGTGGCAGGATCCTTGACAGTCAGATCAGTGCTTCATCAAACGTACCTCACTTTGAAGCCTTCAAGGCTCGACTAAATGGCCCTTCATGCTGGAAAAGCGCTAAAAATGATACTGGTGAGTTCCTCGAGGTGAACTCTTGGAATCAAATAAAATATGTTACAGCGATACAGACACAAGGCGGTCCTCAAGCGGATAACTGGACTGAACGGTTCTATGTGGCGTACTCTTTGGGGTCAGCTTGGAAGAATGTTACCCAGCTACAGCAAAGAAGAGTTACGGTGTGTACAACGATAAATCAAATACTGATGGCATTTAATGATGGAAAGAATGGATGGTACGTCTTACGCTTGGTATTAGAAACAAAATGAGAAAGATATAAATCAGTCAAAGGTAAGAGGTAAGTCTGCATACTGCTCAAGTGACCCGTCAGGCCAGAGCTTATCCGAGTTTCTGTAGCATAAAAGTGACTAAGAGTATTTCTACTCCCCCATGGATGGGATGCTGGTCCATCACAGGGTTATCCCCCAACATTAGATTCGCCGGTACCCATTTATACACCTGGGTGGAGGGAGGCACTGTGAGAGAAAAGTATCTTGCTCGATAACACAACATAATGCCTCCGGTCAGAGCTCGAACCCGGACCGCACGAGATCCTGAGTGGAGTGCACTTACCATGACTCCACCTGGACTCTGAGCCAGGGTTTTCTTTTTACGTGCTGGACCAGCGAGGTTAGCGTGCTCTGAAAAGCTCAGCGGAGAATTAAGTTTATATTACAACACATTTTTTTGCAGATTCTCAAGGGAAACAGCCACGGAAGTTCGTCAATTACTCACTTACTTTTCAACAGCTGTTCGTATTTATCCTCTCAAATGGCATGGAAACATGGCGCTTAGACTGGAGCTGTATGGCTGCTGATATCATTGGCGTATCAGTTTGGTCTTCGTGTCCCGGCTCTTTATTATGTAATGTTAGTATATACCACACAAGTGAATAGTACTTTTCGCGCACGCTGATTGGCTACCTCAGAGGTGATTAGCCAAGTACTATTTACCGCCGAGCAGCCGAGGAAAAACAAAATGGCTTCCCGTTTCAAATGAAGTTACTCTTAAACAAATAAAGTTACTCTTTGGTCCGCTAGTTATTCAGCTTGTGTGGTATATACTAAAACAATTATTCACCTCAGTGTCGGTGAAAGTGGTGGATATTTACCTCGCCACTTCGCTGCTTGGTAAATATCCACCACTACTCACCTCCACTTCGGTGAATAATTGTTAATACAGTCGTCGTGGCATTTTTGTACCTGAGCATCTGTCAGTAGAAGTTTACACAGACCTTTTTCTTGCTTTCTCCTTCGTTCAAACTCCTTCGGTTAATACTTCAGGCTTTAAAACGGAATGTAGACAGTATGTGGACAGACTGTCAGGCACAAGAGCCTTCAACTGTAAAAACAGACTTGCCGCAAGCATAAGCTCGACCTGTGCCCTGTGAAATGGACCACAGCATAAGTGCAAGGAAGCTTTTATGATTGGCCAACTAAAACACTCGTTCCAGCTTCCTTCTCTCGCTAGTAAAAAGGGACTCGACTCTTTTCCTTTGCTTGAATCGTTGTTCATTTCATATTCTCGACAAAAATCTCTTGCACTTACGCCTGTACTTAGATCGCTAGTTAACACCAGACTCTGAGCTTGTTTGAGTTCTTATGCTTGAGGTACTGGTGAGTACCTGATTCTTATGTTTCACAACGGAGACACCTAATCTTACATTTCCTTGAAGTGCAATCCCCTGAAAATAGAGGAGGATCATTGTTTACAATATTTGCCTCATTAGCCTAAGCGATACAGTTTCTGATGGAGCTACAAAAACATTACTTCTGACTATGGAGAGAGAACAGCACGATTAACTGTCCTATGGAATTTGAGCTCGATGTATTGAACACTTTTTGAGCGACGCGGGTTTAAGAACTCAAACTTTTATGTACGAGTCCATTTGCGCTTTTGCAACCCAGAAATTCTGTAGTTTTAAAAGCCAATTTCTCCTCGAATATTACACACAAAGAGCCAAACCTTTCACCAATTACTAAGTTTTACAAACTCTTTAAATGCTAGTAGTCAATTCAGGTCTAGCGTGATGCCTTCTACGTGCAAAGTCGTATATTAATGGAGAAAACTGTAAGCAATGACGTCAGCAAAGATTTGCCTATATCCCAACCTTTCGTGAAACGCAAAGTTCCTACCAATACGTAACTCCATAAAAACTTCCGTGTCGCTACATTCCTTTGTTGTTTATTATACGAGCAATCTTGTTTTTGTAGAAATTACATTTAATACATTTATAACATGTTATTTTTGGCATCAATATCCAATATGAAGTAAAAGAAATAGTTACAAAAATAAAACATTAATAAAGGCAAAGTAATGTAATTTATACGTCTTTTGCGATTTTGGGGTTGCTGAGTCTATATGAAAAATTATCAAACTGAGCTGGGCCTGATACCGACACACAGTAGGCACACCAGTAAATGCTATTTACAAAGCGTGGAGGATAACGAACAGATATGCGACTAGTTGCAGGGAGGAATGGAAGCCAAGAACTTCAGGTGACAAGGCCAGCGTGCACAAGGCCATGCTGCCTGCTCCAAATTACAATTTTTGATACACGTATGTTCTCTTACACGAAGCATGTCTAAACCGGCGACAAGTGTAGCAGTGCTAATATGTGGCTGCGACCATGATATGGTCCCTTCTACAGGATAGACTATAAAGATTAGGCTGGGGGCCGCCACTCAATGCCCCTTTTTAGCCCTTATGGTTATTTTGGGCAGGCAGTACTCTGTACTAATTTAATGTTTATTGTAATTATTTTATAAATTGAGTACAAATAAATGGCTGCTGTTGTTGTTGTTGTTGTCTTACCGGTCCACAAATGCAGTGTTTACAAATGCGTGGCCGTATACAAGGGTGTTCCCTTACGCCATGTCACAATGTACTACGTAATTTCTATCGGATTACTGTAAACAAGACAGCTCTTCCCTTAATTTTTGCAATGCCTGTTTAGAGGACGAGAATTTTTTCTCTGTGGTTTTCGCACTCAACTGTCGAAATGTCTTGGCCACAAGCAGATTACAGCGATCAAACAAGTACGCCTGAACGTAGACTGCACCTTGGGCTTGGGTCCATCTTCTCGAGGGAACGATCAGACGATGCTTTTTGACGTTAATATGAAGCATTTCTTTAAGAACTTCTTGGTGTCGCACCCAGTCCTCCCCGCAGGCCTCGATCTGGGTTCTCAAATCGTTGAGACAAACATTCTCACAATCGGCGAGAAAAACGGCGATTTGGTTGTCGAACTTGTGTTTTTCTGCCAACAACAAAGCTTCAAGTCCCAGTTGTTTAATATAAATGTACGAGTTGTTGATGGCATTCTGATCAACTATCACTTGAACTTTTTCTAGAATTTCTTGCGGCAGTATTTCAACCAGGCGTTTTTTGCATTCTCTAAACACTGGGAAGTTATCACCATAGAAATTAAACATGCTGCTGGTTAAATTCTTGGCGAGTTTTATCTGTGTGTTAGTTTGCGGTTTAAGTCGCCGGACGCTCTGCATGTCGATTGCAAACTGTGTAAATAAATCCGATAAATCGACATGATACTTGGCCAGTGTTTCAGTGGCGCTGCTCTCAGCCGGAACCAACTCTTTCAAGTCGCCTTTTGCCTCAACTGCGTCAACAAGCGTCTCGTACTTGGGCAACAAATCGCTTATTTTTTCTTGAAGCCTTTTGAGAGTCGTGTGGATATTTGCGATATCATCTAATATTGACCCCACGGCAGGTCCATCTGTGAAGGTATTTCCCTGTAGTACCGCTACTTCACTGTGGCAAGCGTTACATACTCGTAGATATAAACAGCTTGGTGGCTCTTTATCCGGGGAACCGATGATGTTGATAAGAGCCCACTGTACGGTACGAGATGGTTCAGCGGGGTATAGGATGAGCGTTTCTGAAGAACACGATGAGCAGATTATTGCTCCGCAAACCCTGAGGACGAAAAAGACAAATATCATCATTATTTTCTTAAGGTTGAAATAATTCATCCAGATGGTCAGTGAAGTTTTCAGTTATTGAGTGGTTTGTAGTTATTATGTGGCGCGAAAGACTGCAATCAAACTTCTGCATTTAGATGGTTCACAGTTCTATCCTTCTGAAATGTCAACCTAAACTAGTTATATGATTTGTGAACTCACTTGCAATTCGACTTCATTTCCGTCACGGCAAACTTTTTACTGCACAAAGTACAACCACTCCTTGATGAGCTTGGCTGAAAAGAGAGGTCAAAACCAGGGTAAGTCTTTATTCAGCTTTCTCCAAATATACCTGTATCTTCAGGAAATGAATCGCCTTTTTTAACATCTAAAGCATGCTTCCACGGGCATCCAAACTCTCCTAGGGGAGGGTGGGGGACTCCAATGTGAAAAGGTCGAAGATGCTCTTCGGAAAATTTGAATTAAGCTCCTAAATGAGACAAATCTGGGAGTACCTCGAGCTTTATTTGACCCCTAAAAACACTTTAAAAAAGCATGACAGCGTTCTTTTATTGTTATTTCTTCGAGTGCAATCCTAAAATATAACTAGCCTACGAGTAGGCCCACCTTTGAGTCACGCGCGAGCGGTGGAGAGCGAGGCGATCCAGCGGGGAGGAGTCTGGTGAAGAGGCGTAGGCCGCGCGCGCTTGTGCTCCAACGTAAGCCTGCTCGCAGGCTAAAAGATACCTTGACGGTTAAAATAGTGGCGTTTCGTCTTGAACACCCTAAGTGAGAGCAGAAGCCTTGGTCGATACCCCTAAACGAGACGACGAGCATCCCCGACCTTTACACAAAGGGAGTCCCCACCCCGGGGGCGTCACCTTCTGTGTAACGGTAGGAAAAGACCGTAGTTGTAGTCAGACATGATAGTATTAAAAACTATAAAATTTGTTGTCACTGACTGAAAATGTATAACATGGGACGTTTAGGTTACAACACTGTAACCCTCTTCAGCAATAGTGCAAACTGGCATCCAAAATGTGGGTGCAAGAGTAATTTCAGTCTGCTTTAAATTTATACTCCAGTTACAGGTCTTTAAAACGCATATCTACCCCTAAAGCTCTACGTACCTCTGAATCTGTAAATATTCTCAAGGATGTATCATGTAAACATTTCCAGCTTAAGGACAGGATTTTCACTCCCGTCTTAAATAATTTCTTTTAGATTGAGTGAGTTAAGCAGTACGATCTTGCCTTATGTGTTTTAGTTTAGCTTAGCTTTTTAAATTTCAGTCTTATTTACCCTTTTTAATTAGGTTTAAATAAAGTTTCAATAACTAGGTTTTTAAATTTATTTTCAATGTAAGTGTTTTAGTAGTAAACCTTTTTATACTAAAAGGGCCACAAGTTCTTTTGTTTTATAACTAGTACATGTATGTGTGAAGGTGGATTAATCAACATGGCACGAGCGTGGGACAAAGAAAAATTCTGAGTCCCCAACAGGAATCGAACCCATGACCCCCCAAACACCGGGCGGGCACTCTATCCACTGAGCTACGAGAACTCATGGAGAGCTAGGCCATTAAACTGGGTTCATATATGACAGGTGTCCTGCATACTGCTAGGATCAACACTATCGAATTCATCGTGAGTAGTGATAAGTTAATAAAGATGGTGAATTTTAAGCTCNTCTATCCACTGAGCTACGAGAACTCATGGAGAGCAAGGTCATTTAACTGAGTTTATATATGATAGGTGTCCTGCATACTGCTAGGATCAACGCTATCGAAGTCATCGTGGGCAGTGATAAGTTAATAAAGATGGTGAATTTTAAGCTCGGTACTATATTACTACTCACTACTCACTATATATACTACTCACTACTCACGATGACTTCGATAGCGTTGATCCTAGCAGTATCCCGGACACCTGTCATATATGAACTCAGTTAAATGGCCTAGCTCTCCATGAGTTCTCGTACCTCAGTGGATAGAGCGCCCGCCCAGTATTTGGGAGGTCATGGGTTCGATTCCTGTCGGGGACTCAGAATTTTTCTTTGTCCCATGCTTGTGTCATGTTGATTAATTCACCCTCACATTTCATTACCGAGCTTAAANATTAACTTATCACTGCTCACGATGACTTCGATAGCGTTGATCCTAGCAGTATGCAGGACACCTATCATATGTAAACTCAGTTAAATGACCTTGCTCTCCATGAGTTCTCGTACCTCAGTGGATAGAGTGCCCGCCCAGTATTTGGGAGGTCATGGGTTCGATTCCTGTCGGGGACTCAGAATTTTTCTTTGTCCCATGCTTGTGTCATGTTGATTAATTCACCCTCACATTTCATTACCGAGCTTAAAATTCACCATCTTTATTAACTTACATGTATGTGTTACCCTCATTTAATGAAGTCCGAATGATTGACTGATTTTGATTGATACATTGTCATACAGACAGGCCCTAAGTTAGAATAAGGAAAATAACTATCATCTAAATAACAGGGGAATAAATATATATTTTTTGTTCCCTCACCATCCAGTATTTTGATTTTTGCCAGTCAGGAATTTTGACAAAGCTAAAAGCTTCCAGCACAAAAGACTTGATTTTTGAGTTGCCAATATGCTTTGTGTAGCCGTCAACAAGTCTTTGCAATTCTTCTTTGACATCACTCAAAGGTTGAACGGGTGTATCATTGTGATTGTTGTTCCTGTCTGCTTTCTTTCTTTCACGCCAAATGCGAAATTCTCTTAGCAGTGGGCGGGCTGCTCCAAATGTCTGGGGCCCTACATCAAAACACCTCTTACACACCTGATAAAAAGAACAGAATTACAAATCTAACTCTCACTTTACTGTGTGAGAAACTCCATAAGCAGGACATTTGCATACAGGGACACGCTTGTCTGCAGTTAGAAAATATCCTACAAGAAACTGTACTAAAAGTTGTGTTTTCTATTTAATCTGTGTTTCTATTTAATCCCTTGAGTAAACAGTACACAGTCAAGGGTGAGTGGTCCAATAATTTTAGTACACACACTGTTCTAACAACTGGAATCCAAAACCAGATCTTGGAGCAACATTGGCAAGATCTTGACATAAAAGAGTTTCCAATCAATAGTACATAAGGAGTGTTTTCTACTAAAACTCTACACTTGGAAACACAGAACTTCTGCAAGCTACTAATGTATTGAAAGCAAGAACAAAAAGAGTTTGGCCTTTGATAATTAAAAAAATAAAAGATTTCCTACCTTTTCACTTAGTTTTTTCCTATTTCACACTTAGAGCCACATAGCTGTTACCTGGGTTGTAACACAATGCTCCTTGCCCATTGTAAGGGAGTAGCATGGCATGATGACCCAACTAATGGCTGCGTAGGAGACTTACTTAGAACATAGTGTAACTCAAACCCTTAACCCTTAAAGTAGGACATTCAGTGAGCTGAAACTGTCAGTGACAGATTTAAATTGACTTCTCATAGGAAAGGGAATGGGTTTTTAACTAGATGGAAAATTACAGTTAAGTTGTGACCATCTTTTTTTGCTGATCCCATTCCATACAGTGCTCAACCTTTACAAGCAGAATGTACTGTAAAAACTGAGTCATACTATGTAATTGTGTTAGTGCCCCAGGAAATCTCCATACCCTCCCCAAAGAAGGTGTTTTCATTTGAACCCTCCCACCCCAGAAATTCCAGTTAGCTTCATACTTTAATTTTCACCTTCCAACTTTTTGGAATTTCTAGTGACCTTCCATGGTGTGGGTAAGGCTATTAATTGTATTTTGCATTTTTCAATATTGATTTAATTTAAGATTTGCAAGAGTGGTTGTGAATTTAAACAGTTTGAGTGATCCTTATTCACAGCTTTATTTACTGTACAGGATATTTGCAATCTGACCATTGCCAGCTTTGTCAGTGTTGTCACCAGTGTCTTGCAAGAGCTGATCAGAGGCAACATTTGTTCAATGAATCATGATCAAAAGTTATTGACTCCCTGGACATACAGCTGTATTGCAGGCCTAAATCAGCAAACGTCACGTAGTTTTGAGCTACACCATTGTACTCACCCTATAATTAATCCCATTTGGATCTGGAGTTGCAAACAACGACAGACGACGCCTGTATTGAGAGCACTTGCCACAAAACACTTCACCACATCTACAGGAAAAACATACATAAAAGGCTGCACACAAGGTTCAACTGACACATACATGTACATAAGCCCTATTGGAAAAAAAACAAACAAACAATATATTCCTCAGAACCAGGTTGTTTGAAAGTAGGTCAACGCTAACCCAGGATTAAAAGTTAACTGAAGTATTATTTTTTCTGATATAAAAATGTTTTTAATTACCTAGTTTGAAATTATTCAAATTCAAAACTGATTAGGACAAACAAAAATAACAAAAAATTACCAAACTCAAATCAAAATTCTCACTAATCCCAGGTTAGCTTAGTCGGGCTTCAAACAACCCAACCCGAATGATAATTATTGTCTTTATCCATCTACTCCTCCTCTGATCTCTTACATTAATCAGATGTAGAGTCCAAGCCAAACAAGTTCAAAAATGGGCAAAATTAATGTCATTAGTGGAAGGAGTCATACCTCACCGGTTGCATTTGTTGAACCATATTTACTTTTCTTTCTTAATGTAACTAGTAAGACAAATATCAAGAAGAAAAGTAAATATGGTAACAGTGAGTGATGATAAGACTCACTGCACTTCTGGCATTCATCCAGAACGTATACCGTGAACTGCTGCTTATAAGACCTGTCGCTTATAAACCCTCCCACTTATAAGCCTTCCCAATTATAGGCCCATCTGCCTGTAAACAAAGTATTACTTCTGATTATAAGCCCCCCTCTAGTCTAAAATGAAATAAATCCGATTTATTATGATGTTTTAAAGCTCAAAAACCAGTATGAGAAAAAAGTATTTTCAATCAACACTGCTGTAGCTCATTTTTCAACATTTGTTTTTTAGTCTGCTTATAAGCCACTCCTTCCCCTGGATCATTTAGCCCCTCCATTTATAAGCCCATCTAAATCCCCTTATGAGGCTGTACACATCTAAGCCCAGGGCTTATAGGTGGCAGTTTACGGCACACCATGTCAAGAGTTAGTGAAAATTGGAGCATGAGAGTTTAATTTCTTAAACTGTAAGCAAGCTAGGACTAAACAAGACTGAATTCTCAAATGACTCAACAAAACTCTGTGAAGGCTCACACTTGATGAGAGCCAACAAGAGTCAACAACATGGTTTGAAACAAAGACCTGTTTGTATGAAGGACGGATGACCCTATCCTCTTAATCAGTCACAATTCAGTGAATACAGTGATATGTTTTGAGACACTTGTCCACTGGATAGAGATTTATCCCACGTACATGTATGGCGTTATCCACCTGAATACCTGTATATAACTCCANGGGGGGACTCCCATAAGAAAAGAACGGGGATGCTTGTTGTCTTGCCAAGGATTCTGGTCTTACTTAGGGTGTTCAGCACCAATAACGCCACTCTCATATTGGGCTCCCCCCGGGATATCACTCGGGCCAATGTACGGAGGCAACTCTGACCTGAAAAGATCTACATTACTGATCACATAGACAAATTTACAGATCTAGAAAAGTAATTTTTTTTAAATGTTAAAATGATTTCATTTAGTTTTCTCAATACCTGAGAAAGAAGTTCGTATAGTGTGATCGTTCGGGTGAGGGTAGTTCTGAAAAGAACTGTTGTTGGTGATGAGAAAGAGCAAGGAAACGTGTAAAGTGTAAAGTGTGCGTAGATCAAGACATGCACATGTATTAAGTCAAGTCACTTAACATACATTCTAGCTCTGAACCACTTCAGTATTTTATAACACAGGTTGATAGATTTACCTTCGACAATGATGCTTTCTTTCCGTCAATGTAAATTTCCTCCGGCAATCTCTTTCGGCGCAGTGCGTTCGTTCCAAGCTGTCAACCCAGTGAGTTGAAATGATCTGTCGGAGAGGTTCCGCTTTCGGTTCGGGTCCCTCGTGCTCGTTCAAAACATAGCTTACGGAGCGACTGAGGTCCTCCCACTGAGCATTAAGAGACTTTGATCGATAGAAATTAGAATTGCTGTGAGCCATGGTGTGGTGAAACGGGTCCAAATACGGGCCAAAGGGACATAGATCCACATGGATCTGAATTGATGGCACTTGAATTCTCTATGATTTACATGGCTTACATGACATCATCGACATCATGTGAGAACTCGTTTCGTTTGGTCAGTTGTAAACTTCATAAGGATAGCGTGACTGCGTTACAACAAACAACGTGACCAAGTTCGATTTAGCGATGAAGTCGTGTCTGTGCATTTTCGTTCTTTTTCACTCGACAAATCTTTACACATTGGTCACCTCAGCTTCATCAAAGCCTAATATTTTGTTCGTTCTTGTTGATGACCTCGGCTGGAGTGATGTGGGTTTTCACGGCTCGAAAATAAAAACTCCAAATGTCGACAAACTGGCTAGCGAGGGGGTCGTTCTCGAAAACTATTACGTTCAGCCCATATGCTCCCCCACAAGAGGGGCTTTGCTGTCTGGAAGATATCCTATACATATTGGTAAGTATTAATATATTGACTACCTTCAAATCGCTTCAATATATTAAAACTGGAAAGCTGATAATCTGGTGCCGTTGTGTGAGATTATGTCACCAACATTCTCCTGACGGTGTTCATACATTTCTTATAGTAGAAGTTAGGCGAATTTACTTCCTAATGCTCAAGTTGTTCCTTTTTCTTTAAACAGGCTTACAGCATGGAATTGTTCACACTGGGTGTCCATTTGGTCTGCCTTTGAATGTAACAACTTTACCACAAAAGCTCAAAGAAGCTGGTGAGAATTTGGATTTGAAATCAAGAAATATTACATAAATTATCGTTGAAGTTATGATCCTCTTTTGTGGACCTGAAATCTAAGCTAAGCTAAAATGTACCCCTTTGCCGGGTATAATAAATGTTATGTAAAGAATGTGCTTAAATAGTTTGTATAGTGTGATCGTAACTTGTAAATTTATATAAAATTTAGAATTTAACTTGTTTTAAGAAGTGTGATTTGTTTATAAAGACACAGTGTCTGCTTATCAGAGGAGGCCAGTGATCACTAGCACATCAGTACACTTTGCTTTTGTGTTATTGCTTATCAAGTCACAGGTAGCCCATGGTCAAGCTGTAAGCGATTATCATCTTACATAATGTGTACTGCCAGAAAATATCATTCCATACCTCCCCCNAGAATTTAACTTGTTTTAAGAAGTGTGATTTGTTTATAAAGACACAGTGTCTGCTTATCAGAGGAGGCCAGTGATCACTAGCACATCAGTACACTTTGCTTTTGTGTTATTGCTTATCAAGTCACAGGTAGCCCATGGTCAAACTGTAAGCGATTATCATCTTACATAATGTGTACTGCCAGAAAATATCATTCCATACCTCCCCCTACCCCTCTGGAAATTCCAATTAAGCTTCATACATTTCTTTCGATGTTTTGGTCTTACAAAACCTCCCATGCCGGGCCGCCAGGAAATTCCAATCCCTTCTGTGGGGAAAGTATGCATATTTTCTGGAACTGCACAATAGCAGTCATCTGCAAAAATTAAGACAATTTGTATGGGAAAATTTATGATCGATTTTTAAGGTGGTAGAAATACTACTTGTAGGCTCTTAAAAAATGCTCTATCTTACTTCCACAGTGTATTGGTTGTTCAGTCTGTTCGCTTTTTCTGACAATTTGAAGGAATCTTAGTGAGTTATCGCTTCCTAGGTTTCCCACCCTTAAGATCTAGAAAAAGTCTTTCTCTAATAGGGCTACCTGTGATCAAGTCCAGTAAGATAAGAAATCAAATTAAAAAATAATAATGCCATTATTCTGATGAGAGGACAATTCTGACAACTGGACAAATGATGTTATCTTGAATGCTCTTTCAGGTTACAGTACACACATGATTGGAAAATGGCACCTGGGTTTCTACAACTGGGACAGCACTCCTACATATCGTGGCTTTGATACATTTTATGGATTTTATAATGGTGCCGAGGATCATTACACACATGTGCAAAGTCATTTTCTTGACTTCCGCGACAATAAAGATATTGTTAAAGATATGAATGGGACTTACTCTGTTAATGCATTTACAAAGGTCAGTCATGTGCAGAAAATTATTTGTCAACGTGCATTTCTGGATAAAATTAATGTTTGATCTACAATGAATGTGCATGTGATGGATCAGGTGTATAGCAAATTATCTTAATTACTAGAAATCAACTGTTAAACACTCTGGGGTGAATTTAGGGGGACCAAGTAGCCCCCCCCCCCTTTTTTTTCTTGTATGTAATGTTCAAAAATTTAGAATTTATTTCAAATACAGTCAAACCCCTATAAAGCAGCTGCTGATTATAAAATGGCCACCTCTATTAGGTGGTCAGTAATCGAAGTCCTGATGACAGCTTGTCTATTGTTTATACCTCTATTAAGTGGTCAGACCCCTTTAAGTGGCCACTATCCATTTCCCCAAGGGTAGCTGTTTAATCATAGGGTTTGAACTGTACACAATTGGGTTTCAGTTGAGTTTATACATGTAAATATTTACGGGGGTGAGGGGTAGCTTGCACAGTCTGCTGCAATTTATCTGAATTTTCTGGATCCATCCCTGTTGAACTGGAATATGAATTATTTTATTTGCAAATATATTAATAGCATATATTAGTAATCTTATTATAATTATTAATAAAATTATTTTTAGGTATTTAGGTATTTATTATTGCTAAAGTACATAATGTTATACATGTTGAAATGAAATATGCAAGTTAGAGAATGTGATGATTATCAATTGTTATGTAGCTAAAGTTTATTTGAATCTAACACCCACTCTTATTGGGTGATATGTGGTGATGACTGTCAAAAGTATGGCTTAATCTAAATTTCAGCGTGCAGAGCAGATTGTGAAATCCCATGATGCCAGCAGCCCTTTGTTCCTTTACATGGCATTTCAAAATGTTCACTCCCCTGTTGAAGCACCTAAAGAACATACTGACAAGTATGCCTTTATAAACGATACTATTAGACGAACCTATGCTGGAATGGTGGATATCATGGATGAAGCAGTTGGAAACATAACAGAAGCATTCAAGGAAGCAGGGTATTGAAAGTGTTTGTTTGTTTGCTTATCAACTGAGAGTGAGGTCTTTACAGGCAAATCTCAAACTGAGACCTTGCTGTATTGACTCAGAGTGCGATAGTGAGGCCAATATGGCAAGGTCAAGGTTTGAGATTTTCTGGTAAGTCCGAACATTTAAGATTAATAAGTTGTTTATTATGTGGCTTTTTACACATGCTTTTGTTTTGCGGGCCTGTAATTGGCCCATGGGCATTACGGGAGAAAAATGCCCTAGAATTAGCCAATCGGAGGGCGTGTTACATTGTATATCAGCTAACAAACACAAGCCATATAATAATCGTTTTTATTTGTTCAGTTCCAGACCTGAAGAAAGTGTTTTTCTTTCCTGATTGAATCAACTGTTCTTTTACCTGTGTTAAACTATATTCTTATAATTTCCTGTCTTTTATCTTTGTCGGGGTTGAGGGAGTATGGGGAGGTTGCATTTTAAATCAAACAGACAAAAGTGAACAAAATAAAGGATCTGCACTTAAATACTTTCTTTGTAATTTCTTGTCTTTTATCTTTGACGGGGTTTAGGAAGTAGGGGAAGGTTGCATTTTAAATCAAACAGGCACAGGTTATGAGTGAACAAAATAAAGGTTCAATTTAGAAAAGATTTGGTTTTTTGTTTTGTTTATCAAGATTGTGGGACAACACTGTTATGGTCTTCAGCACGGACAATGGAGGTGTGCCGAAGAATGGCGGCTATGACTATCCCCTGAGAGGACGTAAGGATACACTGTGGGAGGGAGGAATCAGAGGGGTGGGGTTTGTACATGGTAAAATGCTCTCCAGGAGTGGGGTGAACTGTACAGGGCTTATCCACGTGACTGACTGGTACCCAACATTGGTTAATCTTGCTGGTAAGTCAACTATCGCTTTGAAGGATTTTCATTTGAGAGCTTTGGTTTGACGTGTTCTGGCTTAGTTCATTTTAAAACCTTGTGTGGTGTGCTGTAACTAATCCGAGGAAAGGTATTTTATTCTCAGCCAAGCAGATCAATAGTAATTTGGCCCATGTCTTTTCCCGCGTTCGCCACTGGTTGCAAGTGTTCCCGCGCTTGTCGCTTGGTGCTAGTTACAAGTTTTCTTTCGCTAACCATTGGTAACAAGTTTTCCCGCCTTCGCCATTCATGATTGGTTACAGCCTTTCCCGCGCTCGTCACTGGTTTCAAGTTTTCCCGCCTTTGCTACTTGTTTTTTCGATTGGTTTCTCGCGTTATTTTTGCGTGTTCTTATGTGATATATGTTTTCACAAATCTTTCCTAGCGCAACACGCTTAACACGAAATGAATAAAGAACTCAGTAACGATCCTTCTAAATTGTCTTTCAGCGCAGTAAAAGTCATGAGGTCAAATCAAGATTGCTTCTGGTTTTACAACTGACGATTCACCGAGAAAACAACGGGTTTGTTCCGATGGGGTATCGATAAAAAAAAAAAGTTTCACGAATGTTTTGCTTGTCAGGTGGGCCTGATCGATTCGCTGCACTTTTCATTATACTTCTGCGAACTGATGAGAGCTGTTGTGTGGTTTACAGGTGGCAATCTAAGTCCCGAGGATCTTGACCTGGACGGACATGACGTGTGGAGAGCTATTTCATACGGCGATGCTTCTCCCCGATCAGAGATCCTTCACAATATAGACATCGAGTCTTTTCCTGACTCGCAACTCGGTTTTGCATATCAAGGCATTGGTCTTCGTTTAGGAGACATGAAACTTCTTATGGGTGTCCCGAACATCTCATACTTCATTCCTCCAGAAGACAGAGGCTGTACTCAGACCAACAAGTTGTCTCTACAGGACCTAGAGAGTGTAAGTGTAAAATCAATCAATGAGAGAATTACAGAGTCGAACCCCTATTAAGCGACCCACTATTAACCGGCCACTCCTATCAGGCGGCCAGTAATCAAAGTCCCGATGGGGTCTTTTCTATTGTTTTTACCTTAAAGTGCTATCACCTTCCTCATTAGTTTAAAGATGCCACCCAGATCAATTTGCTTTCTACATTCCGTATAGTATTGATTCCATTTAGCGCCCGGGGTGCTAATTTAATTTTGGTAGTTCAAGAGAGGGCACATATTGGAGAGGGGTCGCTCATTAAGCTTACTGACGGGGGCCTTACTTCGGTTTGAACGTATACACCTGTGCATCCGAATGTGGTAAAGCACAGATACTTTGACTCAAGAACTTTAACAGTAGGGGCTCTGATAGTCATAATGGTCAATGTTAAGTTCAGATGAGAAAGCAGACTTCATTTGTCATTCTTCTAAGCAGTCAATTCTATTCTGTCTTGATGTCACTTTCGATATGGTGGCGCTGGCCCTAATTGGGACGGTGCGCTAATTGGAATAGGGGTGTTGTCACGGGAAACTGGCTCCGTTTCCAGTGGCAACTCCTTGTCGTTCTTTGACCTCATTGGCAGCAAAGCGCGTCAAATTTCAGGCGACGATATTGCTACCATTGGAACCGAGAAACCAAAGCTCAGTCGCGCCTTCCTCAACTGGCAATTGTAGTATTGGAAGTAGGGTGCTAAATCGAACCATTTCGGTATAGCACTAAGATGACAGACGCCATTCTTTACTTTGAAATGAAACTTAGATCCTGCCGATCTCGATGTTGTGCGTTTTTGTTTAGTTAGGCAAACACTCTGGATGCAAGGTAGCAAATCTATTAGGAAAAATACTGGGGAATAAGTTGGTTAATATGAATGTGACAACCCCTCTTCTGAATCTTTTGCTAATAATTTGCATATTTCGGGGAAAAGGTTGTTGTTATTCATCGTGGTAGATGCAATAATAAAGTGTATTATCGTTTGTCTCACGATGTAGTCACTTGAGATGTAGATCGCGACGTTTC